CCCCCCTCTCAGGATTGACCATGACAGGCAGGGTCGGAAGCCCGCCTGTAAAATGATCTAAACTGTGAGGAAGGGGACATAAATACGTGTTACATGTAAACATTTTGGTCGTAAAATCCATTGTCCTGTTCCTGCTCTAGTGAATATGCCAGTGTTGGGTTTCCATCTTCTGTTCACTTACATGTATTACGTTTCCTTTACATCCGTGGTTTCTGCACGTCTTCCATGGTCTTTGCTTGTGCGCAGACCGAGGTGACACTGCCCTGTTTGTTAAAAATGCGTGTTCATAGTTAACGCTTTAGAACGTAACGAACATAGAGCTTTACGTAGAGCTTTAATGTGTCTGATCAGCAGCAGAACAAAGGCAATGTTGCGGCTAATTTCGAACCTAAATACACAAATCAGAAACAGGAATTTGAAATGTCATAGTAAACTCGTTGTTGCCTGCCGTTTAAAGTTTCAGATAATGAAAACAGCTTAATTGAAAAATCTGTATGAATAACGAAGTTGTGGTGCTTCTTTTAGTGCTCCGAAAGGGCACGTCTTCAAGCGTTGGAATGACCAACTCGTGGCCTAGAGGGGAGTTCGCCTCTCATTCAATAGGTCCCAGGTTCGAATCCGGATAGCTAGGGAAAATTTTCTTCTTTAAAATCGTCTCCTTTCACCTCCTTTCCTGCTCTCCAGCAATATTCTGTCGTCTGCTTTCGTGTCCACTTTCTGACCCCACCTCCTCACCTCCTTTGCTCCCTCCTACGAATTCCTATGCTGACTCTTTTCGCAGCCTTATTAATGCTACTATTTGGCCCCTTCTTTCTGCTGTCTTTCGACTACACCCTTGATCTTACAGTAGGAAAGATCTAGACCCACTCTTCTCGGCCCAGGGCGAAAAATCTCGGAGGTTCCGTGTGCAATTTGCGCTTGTTAAAGATTCCTGGGTGGTCCAAAATCGAGAGTAGGCGGCGGCCGCCACGCGGGCAAAATTCAAAATTTCCTACCAACTGAAAATGGTTAATGTGTCCCGCGCGCTCAATTGACTTTATGCAGTTGCGAGCGTCGTAAAACTCACAAAAAAGACTTTAAAAGCGCGTCCTCGATGAGTTAATTTGCCTTAACGGAAACCTGTGTAAGACGGAAACCTGTCTTAACTGTTAACGGAATCTCCACGCTCTCCCCTTGATAATTTTCTCTTAAATTACCTGTACATCATGTATAAGATAGAAACCTGTCCAACGCGGAAACGGAAAGAAAAAGGCCACCTCTATTCTCACCCGGAGTGAGAATAGTGCAGGCGAGTCTTGTGGCTATTCTCATCCGGTGCGCGTTCACCCTAAAC